GTATTTGAGAGGAAAACACAAGCATAGAGCCGCCGTGGAGGCCGGAATTCATCTGGTTTCATCTTTCTTTTTCCAAACTTAGTAATTTATATGTTTCTTTGTATGAGTTATTGTTTTGCTTTCATGTCTATGTGGAGCTAAACTTCACGTTCTAGGGTTGTGGTTTTTTCATGACTATTGTTATTCGGATATTGAGTTTGATTTCTTAGTTTATAATATTGGTTTATTTATTCAATCATGCACTTAATTATTTGATTGCTTGATCACCAATTGAATACTATCTACGAATCTTGAATTGAACTCGAAAGTGGGAATTCTAGATTGCATATAGGATTGAATAGAGCAAGTTCTTGAACCTGGGCATCGGGGAACAGATTCGCGGTTAGGATAGACATATACCTAATTGCCTTGCTTGGTTGATTTACAAGAATTATAAATGCGTTCTTGTTGATTCTAACTCCATAGACATAGGCGTTAGGTTAGCTTGAATAGGCGAGTAAGAACTCGACAGATTCTTATGAGCAATATTAACCCTGTCAACCAATAAACTAGATAAATTAATTAGTCAATTCAATAGAAGAATACAATAGAATTGTTAGTTAGCCCATAACCCTAGATCGTTTTCATTACATTGATATCATAAAAATCTGCTATCCTTTGGCTCAGAGTTCATTATTTATTTTCTTTTTAATTTAATTAGTTTAGAATCAAATACTTCTAGGTTTAATTCTTGTATAGATAATTAGGATAGTCTAATTTAGTTAATAGTTAATCACAAGTCCTCGTGGGATCGACATCCGACTTTTAGTCACTTTATTATTTGACGACCGCGTATACTTGCGTGTGTGTTTGGTCGCAACAAGTTTTTTGCGCCGTTGCCGGGGACTTAGAAATTAACTATTCTTCTAGATTAGACATTGAATTTTTTTTATTTATTCATTTTTTTTGTTTTAGTTTAGTTACTATTTTTTTATTTATTTTAACATGGAATCTTGGAATGAAAGTTATTCGAATCATGGTTATTCTTATTTTGATGATCCTTGTCCATATTGTGGAGGACCGCACTGGTGGAAAAATTGTCAGAATGTTCCCGAAAATGAGTTATGCGCACAATCTCAATCCTTTGAGTGGAATATTTGTAATATGTGTGGTGGTCAAGATGGCCACTGGGATGGTTGTCCTAATTCTTTTCATCCTTCTCTGAGCCCTTATTATGATCATTCTAGTAATGTTTGTGAGTTTGATAGGGGCAATGAAGTACAAGATATGGAACCTGATGCATATATTAGGGATATTTTAAACCAAGTAGCAGAGCAACAAGATGAACTCAAAAAAGATATGAAAAGAATGAGGGCAACAATCACAAGAATGAAGGCTAATATAGAAGAATTGAATGAAGATAGTGAGTACCAGCAAAAGGAAAATTTTGAAAAAGAGGAGATTTTGAGTCAAACTTGGCTGGTGGAACAAGCTGAAAGATTGGAGATATATGAGGCTCAACGTGAGAAAATTACAGATGGGATACAAGACCTAATAGAAGGAAGAGCTAAAATAGGACAAGAGATCGAAAAATTTGGCACTGCTTTTCACGACTTGGGAGCTCAATTGATTGCAAAGGTTGATGCGTCTAACGCCCAACAAAATAGTTCTGAGTTGTGTGAAACTGAAAAGGAGCTTATACGCCAATTCGAGGAGCTAAAATTAGAGAGTTAATCATTCGAGCGTACTTTTATTAATGATGTCCATGTTGAGGAAAGCACTCTAGAGTCATGTGAGGAAGTAGATAATGGTATATTTGAAGACTCTAGTGTGTGTACATATGAGGATGTAACTAGAGATACAATTCTAGAGTTAGGCGTACTGCTCCTCATTCCATACATTTTTCAACATTGTGTTTGGATGATGACATGGAAATCGAGTCATCTGAGCCTTTGGGGGACCAATGTACGAGGACCTGGGTGCTTATATTCTGGAATTTATCATGCCAGAGAGACATAATTACATACCTCATTTGAAAGCCAAAAAGTGTAGAACACGATATTGGTTGCTTGGCCCTGTTAAATTTGTCTCACCACCCGTAGAGCATAGCAAAAAGCTTGAAGCCAAATTGGGGGCTCAATTCATAAGTTCGAGGTGGAGGCAAAAAGTGGTTCACGTCGTGCCGTGACGTTAAATTAGGCGCTTGTTGGGAGGCAACCGAGCTTTACTGCTGTCACGCCTCCTTTTTCCACTACACCCCTGGAAAGGGTATAATAAAGGAAGGTTTTCCAATTAAAGGACAATCGAAACGTGATTTATTTATTTAAAGAATTCAGAGTCGCCACTTGGGAGATTTATGGTGTCCCAAGTCACCGGTTTCAATCCCGAATCGAGGAAAAGAATGACTCTTATATTACTGTCCGCGCACCAGAAATCTGGGTAAGGAATTCTGTTAACCCGGGAGAAAGTGTTAGGCATTCCCGAGTTCCATGGTTCTAGCACGGTCGCCCAACTGTTATATTCGGCTTAATTATCTGATTTTAAACAATTACGAAACTATGTGCGAATTTTAGTTTTAACCGCTTTTATTCATTTTTTAGAGAAAATTACAACGTTATTAAAATATGCCTCGAACCACGTCACATAAATGCACCCGTGATTTTGACATATTTTAACTTCGTTGAGATTGGGATTTGGGTCACGTAAATGAGCACCCGAGTTTAAGAAGATAAAATTATTGAATAACGCGCCTAATGCAACTACGCATTATTAACTTTGCGGGAAGCCATGGAGATTTGCTTAATGGCTTACCCAAATTTCTAAAGATTTAATCACATTTAATATCTAGGCTTCAAAATTTATACGGGGCCATATGAGCTATGTAGACTAAAAATAATTAAGGCTTGTGACATATTTATTATTAAGAAAAGATTGATCGAAGTTGCGCGAACGCATACGCAACCACAATCGTATTTTTAACGACCTTAAAGGTTTGCTACGAATATTAATTATTTTATATCTAAACTGATGCAAGGCCATAATTGGTACGCTTTAATTCTAATCTTAAGGGGAAGGGACTACGTGAAAGACTTTCCTACTGATGCAAACTTCATACATAATGATACGCGGCGCCTTCCTGAGATTCCTTGGAAGGGCGACGTACGGCTAGGCAACTGATGTCAGTGCAGTTGCTGTCCGCCAACTGAGTTCCCCTCCGTACGCTAGACGAGATTGTCAGTGCCGTACGGGAAAACCAATATCAAGAGCAATTGAGAGAACAGAAATGAGAATTCAGAATGAAAGAAAGCTTGATTGCATTAATGAAAGCTATTACAGAAAAGCAACGCGGTGTCGAGGGGGAGAGACACCAGTACAGAGAATTGCTTGCTTGCTAGAAAGTTTTGATTGCTTGATCCCCCCTAATAATACTTAAAAAAATAATCCAAAGTTACAGGAGTAGACCTAATTAAGCTAGAGAAACATAATGGAAGTGCATGAAATAAAACTACTCTATATTTACAATGAAAATGACTTAGTCTTCTATAAGGCAGCAGCAGGTCTGTTGTCAGCAGCAGTGTCTTTGGCATCGCGGTCTGCGCGCGCGGCGCTGTTGGCTTCTGCCTGCGGCTTGGCGCTCGCGAGGGATATCGGTGGGGCGACAGAGGCACCTGCGCGCTTGTCACTTGGCGCGGCCAAGACCACGGGACCGTACGTGGCGCTAGGCATTGGGAGGTTCGCTAGGACGCCACGGGGCGCGCCCAAGGGGTCATGGGGCATGGCTGGAAAGCCGCCCATGACATTCTCCCCCACCTGAGTTGGCGACGTCCTCGGCGCCTTACTTGCAAAATAATCTTCAATGAGGCTCTTGTAGGCTTTGAGGTTTGTTCCCCTCTCCCAAGTATTCTCTTCTGCATCACAGTCCTGCCATTTCACCAAAAATTCTTGGTGATCTTTCCTTGAGGCATGAATCACTCTTTCATCAAGGATAGCTTCAACATGCCTTTTCCCGGTTGAATTGGGAC